AGGTGAAAACCGTTTCACTCCCGCCGTCCTAAATTCGAGGTCCTCCGAGAATATTTCAGTCCAAGGCAGGACCTTTACCCTTCTTATCACGCTCATAGGCTCTGACTATGTCGGGAGCTGTTTCTAGAAGTTCTGTCCTTGTAAACCAGCAGTCGTCTTCCGGTTCCTGATAAGCAAACCGGACCTTATTCTGTTTCTGGGGACGACCTCTACCTCCTGTTCGGAACACATCCTCATCTACAATGCCGTCAATGTCACAACTTCCGTCCATATCCGGGGGGATCATGGATCTTCTTGAAGGGAACTGTTGACTTGTGACACACGGCAACAACTTTGAGGCATGAAATACAGGATAAGTGTGGAGGTGCGCTGGAATCTCTACAGTGTAGGACGGTCCATCCTCTCCGCCCTTGACTTGTAGAACCGGCCACGGTCCTCTATATGCAGGCAGTAACTTCTGTGAGATGTTCTCCTCAGATGCAAACTCTTTAGACTTGGCCCAGACTAAGTCGCCTACCTGAAACTGTGATGGGCGACGGTGCTTATTAGCCTGTTCTATCATTCTATGATCTCCTACTCAGAGCATCCGCAACTACGTTGTACTTGCCCTTCACTGGCTTGAGCTCGAAGTCATACTGGTCTATCTCTGCGGCCCTCCTAGTCAACTTAGGTGTCATCTTGGCCTGAGTCTTTAACCATCTAAGCGTCTCATGGTCAGAATACACTTTGAAGTGCCTCCCAAGCAGGTAATGCTTCCAGTGCTCTAGAGCCTGCCTGAGAGCGTAGAGTTCTCTCTTGAACGTCGAGGTGGCAACCTTCTTTGAGGGCATCCTCGCTGACATGAACTCTGCGGGTCTATAGCCGTTGCCGTCGTCTTGCTGCAACACGGTCCCTATTCCATACTGACTCGCGTCCATGGTGATGACAAATGGCAAGGACGGATCAGCTACTTTGAGGACAGGGTATTCTATTAACGCGCGCTTCAGTCTCTTTAGCGCAGACGTACAATCTTTGTCCCATTGCCAGATTGCCTCTTTCTTAAGCAACTTGCGCAAGGGAGCGGCAATAGTAGAGAAGTTTCTTACGAACTGCCTATAGTAGTTAGCTAGGCCTAAAAACGACTGCAACTCTGTCAATGTGTCGGGCGTTGGCCAGTCTCTAATTGCCGCTATTTTGCTGTCCTCTGGCTTAATGCCATCTCCGTCCAACACGTGGCCTAAGTACACGACTTGTGTCTTGGCCCACTTGCACTTCTTCGAGTTGATCTTGAAGTTTGACTCCCTCAATTTCTCCAATACCTGCCTCAGATGACCCTGGTGCTCCTGGAGGGTCCTACTGAAAACTAATATATCATCTAAATAGACTACTACAAACTTGTCTAACCATGGTCTGAAAAGATCATTCATACAATGCTGAAAGGGGGCTGGCGCGTTGGTTAGTCCAAAGGGCATCATGATGAACTCATAGTGCCCATATCTAGTCCGGAACGCAGTCTTGTACTGATCATCAAGATGGACTTCTATCTGATGATACCTGGACTTTAAATCTATCTTAGAGAAATACTTACAACCCTGCACCTGATCTAGAAGATCGTCTATCCTGGGCAGCGGTTCAACATTCTTCACAGTAATTGCATTCAATCCCCTATTGTAGCGGACCCACCAGGTGTGGTGCTCCGCTAGTGACAGAGATGGAGATGGAGGAAGAAGGAGGGAGCAAGGTGCACAGCGCAGCTCCCCACGCAAGACTCCAACGCACGTACTCCAAAATGTGCCAGTGAAGAATGAGGCTGAAAACAGACAACTGCTGGGGTATACCCCAGTGAACTGACGGGACTGGACTGGACTGGCTGGCAGGGTTGTCACCCCCCCAGGGCGCAAAGCCGGGGCCGGGATTTCACCCCCGGACCCCCTCCTGCGGGGGCGCCGACCCGCGGACCCCGCAATCAACCCCCGCGCCTCCCCGACCCCCGACACCCCCGCGAGACCGCGGCCCCGGCACCCGGCACCCCGGCCCCGAACCCCCATTGACCCGGGCCCTGGGACCCAGGCCCGGC